AAGTTTTAGTGGTGCTGTAAAGTTTCTTCTGGACATTAGAATTATCAGCTGTTTTATGTACATATTGATTCAAAGAGGCCAATTTCATTTAGTTTAAAGTTAGGTCCAGAGTTTGTTGGACAAGGACACTGTTGTTGGAGTTTTGCCTCTGCACTCCACCACGGTGGATTTTAAATAAGATAATCGTGATGATTTAAAACATTAGTCTTAGATGTTTATTGGTAAAGTCAAGTCCTTCCTCCTTGTTCTTGCGTAATCAGTGGTTTACAACTTGTTTTAAACTTGCTGTATTTAAATTGATGAATTAATTGCAGTTTGTGAAAATGGAGGATATGCTGATGAAGTTGCTTTTCTTACCCATGTAAATAATTGCCATTGTGACCTTTAGTTTTTTTTCTATGGTCTTTCAGTTGTGTACACACTCAAAACTACAGAAGTTGTGTCTTTGTCCAACAAATTATGCACCTAACTGTGTATTATAGCCAGTAGGAGTGCTGCAGATATGTTTGTTCAGACCTTGAATTTTAAATCAGTTTGTTCAGTCCATAAGAGGTCCTGATTGTTTACTTTAACCACTTTCTGACACACGTCTTAGGGCAAAAATTAGGGCAAAAGGATGTTTTAATATGCAAAGTTTTACGGTATTTTGGTTGTTTTGCCACAGAACACTATCGCCCCCTGCATCTCCCTACATTGTTGGATCGCCTCAGGTCTTACTCTCTTTCTCCTGTCTGGCAGCTCCATCTTTATCACCTCCTCAGCACATGTTCAAACCATCTCAGCTTTGCCTCTTTGTCTCCAGACAGCTAAACCTGAGCTGTCCCTCTGATGTACTCATTTCTAATTCTGTCCATCTTGGTTACTCCCAGTGAAAATCTTGGCGTCTTTAACTCTGCAACCTAGCTGTTTAAGTACTGAATTTAAAACCAGAGGGGAAGAAAATGCATTACAATAACTTGATCTGAAGTCTGACAGAAGTGAGATTTGACAACCTACGGATTCACAGCTCATCCCTAATAAAGGAGGATGTGCACTTCACAGGCCTTACCCAGCTGAAAACATGTCCGTATACTATATAAATTCATTTTTCAAGACATGTTCAAACAATTGCAGCACTCTACTTTCTAATATTACGAAGTTGTGTGTGTGCTTTCTTTCACACCCCTAATGCAGAGTAAAAAATGCTTCATTCCAACAGGATTACCTTTATTTTTGATAGAGATGTTTAGATTTTCAAATTCTCCAATCATGTATTTGTGATAATAGAAGATCATGTGCTTTCAGGGTCTGTTTACATATTACCGAAGTGGTTCTCTTGTCACAGCGCCTCTCATCTCGTTTGTGTTCTGTGAGGTTTGCTTCGCATGTGATTGTGGATGTGTTTTTTTTCTCTGATTGGATTTTGATTTCTTGTTAGTTGTAGATTAGGATAAATGGGGTTTTCTTTTAGATATACGCTTTGTGTTTCTTTCTGCGTCCATTTGGACCAGCTATAAGCATTTGTTCTAAATGGATGGTATATAGTTTTCCCCTCGGTGTAAGTGTAACAGCTGGGTGTTGGAAAGATGTCTTGTTTCTGGTGCTTATCGGCAGCAATGTTATCTTTAAATACTGTATGATGGTGTTACTGTAGAGCATGGAATGGATCCCCTGAAGCTGTTTTAGTGACAACCGAAACAGCTTTCCTCGCTCTGAGAAATTGCTGACGCACAATTTATAGTAAATACTAATTTTGTAGACTACCATATGAGTTGTGTCTATTTATTCATGTACATACATAAGGTGCTACATTTAAATATTTAAGTTTATTATTTAATTTCACAGCTTTCAGTAATCAGTCAACTCTGAAGAAGAAGAAGAACAAACAAACTTTAATTAGAAGAACGAGGAGATGACATTTAAAAAAGAAACCACACAGGCATCCATCAATAAAAAAGGAAAAAAAACAAAAAAACAAAACACCTCTATCTCTGCAAATAAAGTCATTCTCATCTTTAAAGCAGCTTAATGCCAGAGTGACAATAAGCATTTTTACTATAAAATTGGAAAATTTAAAAAAAACAAAAAAAATCTTGTGACATTTAATACCCTGCCCATTTAAGACAAGGCACGCA